TTTTATTCAAAGTGTAAAATTTAATCTAAATTTTCTTACATATAATGTGTACACACATCACACATAAATACACTCCAAGATTTGAGATCTAGAATGTTTCAGAGGGTGAACTAAGTCAAAAATTGCCATGGTAAAAATAAACATTATTTCTCACATTGTCAAAAGTCATATGTCCTTAAAATCGCAATGAAAACTTATAAAATGTCTAGAAGTTAATATAGGAGAACAACCTAGGGTACCTTGGGTATGGAGATGAGTTTTTATCTTTTTTTTTCAGTCCTAGGCATTGAACTAAGGACTTTGTTCTTGCCAGACAAGCACTTAAGCTGCTGAGCTATCTCCCCGGCCCTTGGAGATGATTTTTCAGATTCAACACCAAAAGTATGATTCATGAAAGGAATTTTCTGCTCTTCAAGAGTATGAGAAGCTAAGCCACACATTGGGAGAAAATATTTGCAAACATCATAGCTGGCAAAGAAGTGGTACCTAAAATGCACAAATTTAAAACCTAACTGTAAGAAAATGAACAATCAAGGCTGGCAAGATAGTTCAGTGGTCTAAAGCACCTGCTTAGGCAAGCTTAGGCAAGCACAGCGACCATAGTTCACTCCCTGGCACCACATGCCACACCAGCACACTCCTCCCACTTCCAGGGCAGACTGAGCCAGCCACAGGGAAAAAAAAGATGAAAAATAAAATGAACAAATAGATTTGAAAATACACAAAAGGCTTGGTAAGTAGGCAACAGAAAATGTACTTAACTCATATGTCACTAGGGATTTTCATGGGGCAACAACCATTAAAAGTTATTACATGTCTGTTAGATTGATGCAAATTCAGAACAAAGCCAACTCCAAATGCTGATGAAGATATGGAGGGACAAAAATGCTAACTCACTCTTGAAGGGAGTAAAAAATGATGCAGTCTCTTTGCAAGACAGTTTGGCACTTTCTTACAAAATTAAATATACTTTTAACAAAAGAGCCAATAATTAACCTCATTCACATTTACCTAACTCACTTGGAAATGTAAAGAAGAATATTTATATTGAGTGGACACTTTCACAAACCCATGAACAACAAAGAGGAAGACCAACATTTGTTCTTCTACTGCTGGAGGGGTTACACTAAGATCTCATAGTTGGGGAAAGACAAGGAAGAGTGGTATCTCTGGTGATTTAGGATCATCCAGTTGCCATAACACAAGTCCCATGTAAAATCAACTCTTTCAATAAAATCCAAATTATTTATGAATATCATTCACATTTGCTTAATTTGTTAGTTAATGTTGCCAAATTCTGCAGTGAGTGTTATAGCATCTTTATTCATAACTTTCAAAATTTAGTAACAGCCACAATATCTTTGGGTAGGAAAATGTGTAAGTCATGATCTGTATGGAGATTGGAATACTATTCGGCGCTAAAATGAAATGAGCTCTCACGCCATGAAAAAAATAAAGAAAATTCCATGTTACTGGATGAATCAAGAAAGCATATTACTAAGTAAAAGAAACCAATCTATAAAGGTTATACACTGCCTAACTCCAATAATATGACATTTGGGGGAAGGCAAAAGTACAAAAACAGTAAAATTAGTAAATTCTAAATATTGTAGGGAGAAGGCATGAATAAAAGCAAGCATGCAGAATTTGGGATGCAGTGAAACTACTGCACATAATACTATAATGGTGGATGCATGTTGCTATTCATTTGTGAAAATCTGTAAAATGCCCAAGAGCAAATGCATGCCTAGAGGATGCTAGGGATGTTGGACGATAGTAACATGCCAGTGCAGACTCATCAGTTGTAATAGACAGTGTGGGCATTCATAGCAGAGGAAGCCTTGCACATAGGAAGAAATAGATTGTACAGGATTTCTGCTCAAGTGTGCAGTGAACATTAAAATTACACCAATAAGTAATGTCTGATTAAACAGGGAAAAATAGTAAAACCGCATTCACTCATGGAAACCATGAGAAAACATACATGTGGTCACTAAGGAGTTTGTTAAATACATTGTGAGCTATATTATGCTAGTTACATAATGAAATGACAACCATGTCAATTTAGACTATTAAAGTCTATTTTCAAAAAACAAAAGATGCAATAAATTCTCTAGAAAGGAGGCCCAGATGGTAAATCTTCTGTTTTGTCCTATTCAGTTCTGACTGCCTTCTTTACAATTATACTGTATCCTCCACAAATTTAATAACCTTATAATAATTTAATTCTATTTATGCTGTCTTTCTTTAAAGGCGTAGCCATAAAAAAGGAAAAAATAAAACTTCCATTCTCAGGCACCATAACCATATAGAAAACTTAAATGAATCAGCACATTAGTTAAATAACAGGAGAGTTTTTAACAGGCAATTGATCATTCATTAAAATAACATAAAAGCAAAAAACATTTTAGTCACTAAATTTTTAGCCACCAATTAAAGAGAATTTTGTACAAGGCCTCTATAGAGGCAAGTTATTAAGCTTTATTGAGATACATTTACAGAGAACCAAATAAATGGGCCTCTGGCTGATATAAATGTGTAAAATTCATTTAAAGAAAAAGACAAAGCAATAACAATAACAAAGAAGATATAAGAAATTCAAAAGAAGAATATAACTTCTCTATTAAAAATTAAACAAAAAAATTAAACAATACTCTCTGGAAGAGAGAGGAATTACCTTTTATGCAGAATAAGAATAAAATTCTCCTTTAGAAAGAACATTCTATTCAAAGATTGTTAAAGGACTTACAGTAAAGGAGGATATTTTTAAAAAGGGCCATGTTTAAATTTAATTTTTCCAACAGTTGGTATGGATGTATAAAATTGGCGTTATCAGAGCCAGGGAGATAGCTCAGTGGCATT